GCGCAGCGAATGGGTCGCCGCGGATTTGACCAGGTGCCAGTCCAACAGCCTTTTAGGTCCTACATCAGTTCTAAAAAAAGTTGCTTGTCTCTCACCATGTCGTCTTTGGTAAGAATGAAGAAAAAATCTTTAAGATCTGTTGCACTTATACCAGCCCAAGCACGCTCTGCCACTGTTTGGTGTTATTCTTATCATGTAGGTATTGTTCTGGGCACTTGTTCTCTTTTATTCTGTTTGTTTAGGTTTTCCTACTGGAATGGATTAAGCGCATCTTACGTCCCGAAATATGTGCTTCGTTCTGCTATATAGACTAATACTGTATAAACATTTTAACATTTTTTTATCATTTGTTTCTAAGGTGCGGAAGCAGCCTAGGTGTACAAGCATGGTCGGCTTGTACTTTATCTTAAAAATACAATCGTCAACGAAGGATTACATCTCCAAACATTCTGTGTCAGATATGGTAACAACACAGACAAGCCAAAATTAAGTTACTATATGTTGATCAGTGCCTCTTGTCCAAAAGGAGTTGAAGGAGTGGCTAGGCGACTAAGATCTTGTGCAACTATTTGTAAAATAGGCAGAAACGGGGGGAATTTTTTTCATGGCGCTAGGGTGCGTGGAAGAGGTGTAAAAAATGTCATGCGTGCTTCAGATGTTGCTTTCCGAATTTTGATCAGTCGTTTCACGTCTTTATTACGCCGCTGTTGCTAAAAGCCGTGGTGTACTAGTGAGCCTTTGCCGGGCGGGGTGCCTTTGCGTGACTTTGAATAACGCCGTGAGTATGATTTGTAGAGACCTCTACATATCGTGCGTCGTTACGGTTAACGGGACTAACCAGGCGTATTGGATGCGCTCGAAGGCCTTATCCAGCCTTCAAGGGAAGCGACAACTTGGGTAAATAAAAAATGTTTGGGAGTTAGTAACACTCTCGCCACAATGGTACCAGACCCTCTTCAAAGCCAATGACAATTACCATCTTCATGGAGGGTCTTTAAACGAGTACGGCTTGCACCAAGACCAGTTGCAATCACAGTACTTAATTAAAGGAAGCGGTGAGTGACGGATTCAGTGCGGAGTAAAACTTACATACAACGACGGCTGGTTGTAGTTCTAAAAGTGAGATAAATTTGAGTGTCGCCTACTCGCCAAATGCGGTAAACATCAGAAATGCTGAGGCGGAAGAGAGTGCTGAGCATTCCTGCGGTACTCGCACTTAATTTATTGGTGGGGAAACATAATATCGCGTATTTCGAGCCTGTTATGCTCTCGGCTGATGGGGTACGATAGGTCGAGCTACAACCGAAGGGCGAACGTCGAGCCCCTTGCTGGAAATATTGAATCATATTAGGACTTTTTGCGTCCACTGATAAAGAACTGATACTTCGTGTCCTTCGTGCTATACAAAGTCTATGAGCCCAACGCGAACGTACTATCCAGAGTTGCACCGCGTGCAGGAGACAAAGAAGGGTTTTGCCCTCGGAACCAGCGGGTCTGGGTGTTTTCTTCTGTCATGGACACAAGCTCATTGTGCATAGAATGCGTGAAGTCGGTCCTAGAGACGAAACGGTTCTCAGACACGCGAGCCTCGCTCGAGGCGATTATCAAATGTAAATTGGGGATATAGACAATTTTAATGAGAGAGATTTTAACAAGGTTACACGTAGCCTGGTACGAAAAGGTGGGTCTCACACGATGGTTGTACCGTACAAACGTCTGGATTACACATGGTGTGACCGTACAATGGTTTGAGTTACACAATTTTGTGTAATCACACATTGATGTGGCTTCACCGTAAGAAGAAGCCACTACGTGGTAGGACTGCCAATATTAATCAGGTTTTATTATTTTATAAGTAAAACCTAAAGTTTTAGATATAGACGGCTCTGCCGCAAAAAGAAAAATATATCCTGTTTCAATTTCGAGCGAAAGAGTACACTTGCCTTGGGTGAAGATTTTGGGAACTCTGCATGCAGGACGAACTTAAAAAGCTGGCGACTTTGGCCCTAACGGCGTGTAACACCTTGCTTTGCAAGGACCCGAAGAAATAAGCGTGCGCCTAGAGGCATTTTCGAGCTAGAAAATGCCCTGCGAGAGCGCCTAGAAAGAAGATGTCGGCGTCAACTGCATCCTGACTCCGCCGTCGATGACGGATGACTCCTCCTAACCCAGACAGCTTATGGTGAGCAATAAGACGTTCGAGGGTAAGGATGGAGAGAATCTCTTGCTCTGGGTGATAGAGGCATAGATAGCTATGGCATCCACCATGCTCCAGAACGAGCAACAGCGCGTGGCGCTAGCCATCTCAAAGCTCGGTGGTCGAGCTCGAGAATGGGCACTGACGTGCGGCACTTCGGCCGAAGCTGCGTCTCCCTCCTGGACGGAGCTGAAATTGCAGCTTTTGCGAGTGTTCTCGCCGCCTAACCAGGCATATCGCGTGCGAGCGCGTTTCCTCGCCACCCGACAGGGCAAATAGGAATTGATGGACTTTGTCCAAGAGATGCGGGCTCTCATTGCTGGGATGGCAGCATATCCCTTTCCGGAGGCGGTCACAGCGACCGTCTTTATGAAAGGCCTCCGCAATGGCGTGGCCAGAATGGAAGTCCTCCGTGTGCATCCGTCCTCATTTGAAGAGGCGGTGAATGTGTCATTGAATGCCGAATTCAATTTCAAGTCGGCACGACTTGGTTGGAATGCACACTTCAACAGCTCGTCGAGCGGACCTATGCATATGGATCTCAGCTATGCTGAAGACGAGGGAGCAGATCTCCAAGCTACCGGGTAGCACGCAAACACACGACGGTGTTTTGGTTTGTTTGTGGGACACCCGTCACCGGTGCAAGGCGCGTCAAGGTTCTTCGTTGTATCGCATCGACGCCTACCAGTCTGGATCGTCGCGGAGAAACGACACCACTCAGTAGGCGCGGGGCGACCTAATGGAAAAGAACTGAATTCTGGTGAGCCTCAGAGAGGCATAGGTCAACAGGGCTCAGCCCCGAAGACCTCCGTGCTCATAAACACGGAACGTGTGTGCAAGCCGGTCTTGCTGGCCGTGGAGGCGACTGTTAAGGGCTTCGAGAAGCCAT